TTCTCAACAACAACGAAAGTCGATGAAAAATGACTCTTTGACAGACGAAAACCAGGGTAGATTTCACGTGACCTTCACCTTATCTAATCTCTAATCGAGATTGAGGCTGACTTGTCCAGTCAGGACCCACACATGCAATTGATATGATGACTTCCTAGTTCTCATCCGACCTCTTGACTGCACGCGTACATATCGTACGGTGCGCACATATCCGTGCCACACCCACAGGGAAGGGAGGTTCAAGTGCCGAGGCCACCGACCGTATACCGGATGGACAAGATGATGGGCACACTCTTCCGCCTCCTCTGCCGGCACCTGCGTACCATCTGGCTCCGTGCACGCAGCCTCTTTTTCTCCATCCGACTCCGCATCCTGCGCATCAACCCCAGCCCGAGCCCAAGTCCAAGCCCGAGCCCAAGCACCGCCCAGATACCGATGCCTACCTCTTTATCTGCGAGCCGCATACCAACGATAACGAACTTTTCGACGGCCAAGACGAAAGCGTGTCAGTGGGCATGTACGCGTGCGCGCGACCTCAAGGCACAGATGACGGAGCGTCGCGTAGCGAGGAAGAATATGATGAAGCAGATGGTGTACGCGCGCATGGCTACGCGGGCAGTGGGGCAAGTCAAGAAGGAAGAAGGCGACGGGGTAGTTGCGACGAGCAAATACTGCGCCAAAGCCATCGAGGACGATGAAGACGATGAAGAAGCGAACGAAGAGGAGGATGAAGAGGAGGAGAAAGGTGTAGGAAGGGAGGCACAAGGCAACCGTGACGACGTCGATGCGTTCGAGGCGCTCTTCAAGCCATTGTCTTCATCACCCACGCTCCACTTCGTCGCAAGTCGCCGCTCACGTTCGCCATTTCCACCATCGCTATCACTGCTCTCGCCCGTATCGACACCGGGACCATTGACGCCGGATCTACTGGTTCCGGAGCCCCGACTTGAGGACGAGCCAGGGTACGCCCAAGCCCACGCACTTTCGAGTCCGACCATATCCTGCGCATCATCGGGATCCAGATCCTGCGACACCGGCAGTGCGCCAGCCACCCCGAAGACGTCACAGGGCCTCACCATCCCCTTCCCCAGCATCCGAACTGCCGATGATGCTGAATCTGAAGCAGCTCCCATGACGCCGCGCCTGCACCTGCGTCCGAATCCGCGTCCGCGTATTCGATTCCGCACCTTATCTGCCTCCATCACGGCGCGATCACCTCTCTCCCTCTCGTTCCCTCTATCTCTATCGCTCCCGCATTCCACACGTCGCGTATCCAGCTCGGGGACGGAGATGAATCGATACATGGAGCAGGGTAGGCAGGGAGAGGATAGCGCGAAGCAGCACGGTCGCGCGGGGAGAGATGTCGCTGAAGCTGCTACGGCGGGAGAAGATGAGGACAGGGAGCGCATCGGGGATGGCGAAGATCCGTTCGGCACCCACGGGCGAGCTTATTATGCCCCTCACGCGCGTGCAGCGCTTGGATTCGGAGACGCGTACGATTTGTCGGCGTGGGCGTGGGCATGCGACCATCTACCATACCGCCGGCAGAAGAAGCGTCACGTCCGCACAGGGTCCGCGACCATTCCAGCCCTCGCCGTCACTGGTGCAGATATCGGTATCCTTGTCGGTGGCACCGGATCCGCGTCCGTGTATTCCACTCCGATTCACGCTGCGTCAGCTCCGCAGCTATCTTGCGCGAATTGCCCAGATATGGAGGTAGAATATTTGCGCGCGATGGCGAAGGCGGCAAGGGCGAGGGTAAGAGTTGAGAGGCCGCCTTTGCCTGTGCGCCCGGGGCCGAGTACGCGCGACCTGCCCGGCCAACACCCACAACATGCTCCTGGGTACAAAAGTGGAATCCGTCCACTATTGCTCCCGCAGAAACTCGGGTTACCAGGTAGTGGTGTGCCGGCACCGCCGCGCGAGATAGACAGGGCAAATAATTTGCTTCCTTCGGGTGGGCGTGGATACAGGGCGACTGGATGGGAACGGGACTTGGAACGCGGGGTGAGTGGGGAGGGAGATGGTGTAGGGGCGTAGAACATGGGAGATAGATGGATTTGGCCAACTCGGTCCCTGCCGTTTGATTTTGCTGTTTATTTCTTCATGGCATGTTGTGGATTGATACCCTCGTTTTTCAATGATATTCTTTGCTTTGGGAAGGAATGGGCATCTTGAAGTCACGAGCGAAAGACAATCACGGAACTCAATTATACCACCAGCAAGGCGACATTACAGCACTTCTATGTCCGAGCAATGAAGTCTACAACAAGCTTTTTAAATTCATTCGGCCTAAAATGTGATATTAGTACAACATTGAGGACTACGCGGAAGAAGCCGCACGTACCTTTCTGCGTGAACTGATACATGATACACCGAATAAGTCAGTATGTATTTTCCTTAATGGTGTCTGTTCGTACGTACCCCAATGGCCGGCGTCTAAAGTTTCAAGAGACATGTTAGGGAAAAACTCTTTGGCGATGGGTATGTTGTTCTTGTTGATGTACTTGCTCTTCGCTCCCTTCACGAAAAGCGTGTTCCCGTGCCAAGAGCGTTCGCCGGGTTGATATGGGAAACCCCCAAGGTCAGAGATAGAAGACCCGATGATATCAAGGGGGATTTGAAACTTGAAAGGCTGCGCAGCAGTGTCGAGGTTGGTCAGGAGGAATGCGCGTATAATCGGGTCCTACAAGGATGCGCCGTCAGTGTTCATACTCCAGTAATAAAAGTTGGCCTGGTGTTGTCAATGGCGACTCACAGACTCGTAAAAGGCCAAAATATCCTGGGCTTCCCGTCGAGAGTTGACTTCGCTATGCTCGATTTTCTTCATGGCCTCTACATAAGCTTGGAACTCCGTGGAAAGCGCTGCGTTTGACGGTGCGATATCTGCCACGATCAAGTGCTTGATGGCATTAGCGGGGAGTTCAGTGGAAAGGGCGACAGCCATGGCGACTTTGCCACCCCTGCGTAACATAGATATATTAGATTCATTCTCGGAGAGCGAATTGTAATCGGGGTAGAGAGTTCGAGCCTTACATGGAATGACCAATGAGAGAAACGTTCGAAAGTGAATTTGATTGGAGGAAGTGGAGAACATCTGTAGCCATTGATTCGTAGGTCATCGGCCCTGCGTGGGGAGACGAGCCGTGGTTTCGTAGATCCTATGACAGATAAATATAATGAAAACCTCAACGGAGCAATATAACACTTACTAGGGCGTAGACAGATCGCTGAAGGTCACGGAGGAAAGCCTTTGACAGCGACAACCAATTCCGTTTCATCCCACTGCCAAAGTATAAGTTACACGGCTGGAAAGAGATGGAGAAGAGTGGAGAGGGAAAAAGGGAAAAACACACACAACAATCCATGGAGAATGACCAGTGGCCGTTCTGTCTTTGAGCCGTGCTTGGGATGGAGAGCATCGTACTGAGGTCAACGGGGTTACCTCGTCCTGAAAAATCCTGTGGTGGAGGCCGCGTAAGAACGACACGTCTAAGATGGCACATATTGAGGACTCGACTTGAAGACAATGAGGGTGCAAGAGGGAAGAACGTCTCATGTAGAAATGGGAGGAAAGTTGAGAGGTGACCTACCCTAAAGACCTAACCTAAGAACACGCGCTTCGAAAAAATGTTTAGTCGCCGTTCAACTTGAACGTTGCACTGAACTCCCGCAGTGCAAAAAGGTCAAGGTGAGTTTCTTCTTTCTTGTAATGTCCCAATCGACGAGATGAATCAATCTTTGGATACGAGCATGTCATTATACCTAAATGGCGCTGCGAGGATATACCCATGTCATAGTTACACTGATCGGTTCACCATTTTTCACGCTATTTTGCCAAAGCCATCTACTTACTTCGCCTTCCCACCAGCACCTTGGACTCTCGGTGTTGCTCCTCAATGCCTGGCTTTCGATGATATATCGCGCAGAAGGTGAGCCAATCATCACCAACGACCCGCCCTTGTTTGGATGATCCAAATCAATTCAAACTAGAGTATCTGAGAGCATGTGCTCGATGTTCTTACCCTTTCTATATTATACCTGAACTCACATCACTCCTATTACCTATCGGAAATGAGTCGCTGATGCCACGAACTCTTCCAGGCAATTTCGTCTGACGTTGTTGGGAATGTCGCCCATTTGTGAGTGGCTTTTCTACCTGCTGTATCATCTCACTATGATGTTCCTTCATGGATTTACCGCCTGACCTCGACCGTAACACGGTCCGAGATTGACGACGAAACATGGCTGTTTTTATTTATCTGATTTCCAACCGACTGCCAGTCCCCCGGCCCAGTTCTGACGGATGTCTTCATTCTAGGATGACTCTGGACGGCAACTTACGTCAAGTCAATTCATTACCATGTAGGCCTTCATGATATTGAGGTGAGTCCGACATCCTTTCCCCCCGCGAACGCCTTCCTAGTGCGACGCCTATATGATGTCATATAACACGACGGTCTTCGTATAATCACTGCCGAAGATGCCCGCCACAGCTCATTTTTTCGGGCAACCCCTTCTGATCTTCTCCCATTTTTCTGTCTTGGTCATTTGACTGTGATTGACCACCCTTTATCCAGACTACCTTAATTATCCCACGTAAGTTCGCCTCGGACAATGTCTTCAATTTGTGCTGTGTTTCGAGATGAGACATCTTTACAATAATCAACTAGAAGCTGTTTCTGAGCTTCGGCCAAGATTTACATACTTTATCTGACCCCAAGAATCGTCTCGTCGTCTTCAGAGCTTTGCTGACAACCTTCTTTCGGAATGCAGTTATTAGAGGCGATGTACCCGGGTTTTATAGTATCGCCGCCATGTAGCATAGTCAGTTATCGAATCCAAATAAAGTATTACTTCTCAGCATTTTCTGGGATCAAGTCTTGAGGTGTCCCCGACTCTGTGCAGAGTCTATTCTGAATTACATGTTTCAAAGTCCAAAATGTAACGCACTGCCCCGCGTGGTAAGTTATGTCAAAGAGTCAAAACACCCAAAAGTATTCGGATACGGGGAATCGAACCCCGAGCTGCCGCGATCCGCGATGAACCTGCAACTGAAAACTCCGGGATCCCCAGTTGCAGATTCAGCAGGTGAGAGGCGGCAATGTTAGCCGTTACACCATATCCGACTGTTCTTTGTCTCAGCTGCAGAACATATACATACCCTTCGTCCATTCAACGCCCACCACATGGGCCTGGCTCAGCTCGGATCGACCAAAGGCAAAGGATATCTGAGACGAGTATCGAATGATTACAGCGTACCTCTACCGCCTTCACACTTTCGCTCCGTTCTTTTTCTCCTGTCGGCAAACCCGCCCTACTGTATCTCCATGATCTTTTTGGCCGTATACCAGGCACTTCTCTCATCGACGTGTCAATGAATGCCTCATCATCGTTAGGAAGCCACAGAGCTTTGTGCATTGCATTGGTTGTGCCACATCGTCATGGCGGTCAGCCGAGTTTGTTTCATGCTATGACCTCGATCAGGACGTCTATAAGTTACATAAATCTGATGCGTGTTACAATCAGAACGAGATCATTGACTCACTCTTGAGAGAACTGCTGTGAATAGCAATCGTGGGGCGATACAACAGTGACAACACGCGGTCGAACGGTTACGGCATACCCCTCCTACCCGATCAATGTCCCGAATGGCGCGAGACCACAATACTCAACGTGAAATAGGAATTTTCTGCGTCGTGCGGCAGCACCGGACGGCGGTAATTGTGATACTGTACTCTCGTGGTAATGGATACCGGTATCATTGATCGCTCATCCGTGTATAGTAGAATTCAACAGCACCCGTCGTCGTCCGAGTCGTCGTTCTGTTCGGTTTGTTCGGAGTCACTGGCACTAGCACCGGTACAGACTCGCTGCCGATCTCGACAATACGTCACGGGCGGTCCGCGGACGAGCGAAGGGGCAGGGCTATTCATTCATCATGGATCAATGATAATGATGATTCGCGCGTAGTATCGCCCCCGGCCGTGGACAACAAAAGCCCGAGAGATCAGCCAGAGCCTCCTCGCGCCGGCGGACGGATGGATGTCGTGATGATTCGCTGATTCGTTTCCACCCGTTCTCGCTCCGCAACGGCAGTCTAACATTTTCCCGAGAGCGTCTTCTCCGTAGTAAGTTATCGTACACGGGCACCTATTGTTCCGTACCGGTGTTACCGACGATGGGATCACCGTGGTCAGTACTTAGTGAGAGGAAAGTCTTGAGGTTCCTCGGATCAATAAAAGAAACACACTCGGAGAGTCGGCCAGGAGATCCGCTGAATTTGCTGTACTCCCAGTTCTTGCGGTCCTCGCAGAGTGAACTTGGGCGCGCGTTTTAGATTTTGGACTAAATGGTTTGTTTCCAAGTCCATTAGGTGTTGTTGTTCATGTTCTGAAACCTTTTTGTCGTTCCGAGAACCGAGAAAGAAAAGCCCGGTCACGTTAGAGACCTCCTCTTTGTTACCCGAATGCCACGCGCGAGACGGAAAGAAAATTTGCTTGCAAGAGTGTGGTAAAAACTTGGTTGAGAGAAGGCATGCGTCGTCCTACGCGATTTCGGAAGCCCTTTGCTCCCAATTTCTGTACAGTAGACATCCAGATGCGTTGACGCGGGGATCTAGTTTGTGGCCGGCCTTGTAGGATAAACGGATGATACCACCTGTTGCAATTGAACGCCCCAAGCAGAGCATCGCGCTTGTCAACAACCTCGATCACCAGTGCATTAGGACCTCAACAAGCATACCTATCTCCTGCATAATCTCGGAGGTGCAGTGGAAGCTGTTCGATTTCAAACTCGTCCACATACCAGTTACTCTGCGACAATATCGCCACTAATGTCGTGTCAAAGTCGGCTACATGTTTGGTCGTTGTCCTCGCTTTCCTCGGCGGACCTTGAGTAGCGCGGGACGACAGGAGGGTCGGAGTATGACACCGCATGGTGAGGACTGCGCGACTGACTGAGGTTTCACAAATGACGCATTACTGTAACTTACAGAAAATTAAGCGAGTGAAAGCATGAAGCATCCGGTAATCACAACAAAAGTCATCAGCACCTACGGCCAAATAAAAAAAAATCCCATTTCCCCGAGGGGCTGTGAATGCTGGCATGGCTTGACTTTTGGAGCACCCAAGGTTCATTAAGAGACCGAGCTGTCACGGTCTCATCTACGAAGAAAAGAGTCAATCAGCCGCACCAAGTGCCTGAGGAAGATTCCATCGCATCGCGGAGCCACATTGATCCTTCGTCGTGATGCATCTCATAAAGCGATCTTTACAAGCTGTATCGGGCCTGACCCCGCGGGTCTTCGTACGGTACGAGGCAGTGTTAGTCGTCTGGTAAGTGACGATGAGCGGGTGTTTTGTGAAAGCGGACTAAAGTGAGCACCAGTAGGACTACTTCAAAGAGCTAGGAGAGCAGGTGACCAAGAAGACGTAGTACAGTCATGTTTTGGTCCAACTTTCTGTAAAACCCGGTACCCAGGATCAGAGTTATCACATGCTCCTCCTCGTAACTTACGAAAGACACCCGCGGACAATATCAATGTGTGATGTCAGACCAGGACTGGTGCTAAACTAGACCGGCGTCCTCGGGCGAGAGAGGAGAGTGCATATAGCTAGGACGTCAGTCGCTTTACATGGAAGTGTTGATGTGATGAAAACTCTGTAGTGTCGATAAAGAGCTGAAAGAAGTCGACCGTGAAGAAGTGAAGACGGAAATACGTCGAAGAGAACGTTTCTTTCGCTGATGTCGCGATGAAGGACATGACGCTCGAAAGTTTTGAACGTCAGATCCTCCATCGCGAGTCGAAACGCAGATACTGCAGTCACCGGCAAGATTTGGGACAAGGTGGAAATGTTTACGGAACAATTAAGGCTCATCAGGTAGCTGTAGACGGAAATACGGACTGAAGATGGCAGACACGCGCTTGGTGCGAGTTCCCAGCATGGGCGAGAAGCGAGTTTGAACAAAGCATTTACGAGAGAGCTTATTGAGGGATCAAATCAGTCACGGCGGTGGCAAAGAGTGCATTTTCTAACCGAAAGTGCATGTAGCGTGTGTACGTACGTACAAGTAGAACAATAATACGGTACGATGGAACGGACTGCGGTTCGCCTTGACGGCATGCAGCACGCGTTGGAGAGCACGGATTCTTCCCTGCATTCGATCAAGAAGCCCCAAATGACCGATTGATTGTATGTGCAAGGCACGTTGAGGAGGCCGGAACTTGAAACAAAAGTGGTGGTGATGCTCATCAGGTATTTGGAACCATAAAGAGTAAAATTACCGGCGGCCGTGTGCGTCTCTACGGAACCGTGTCTGATCTGGTGAGCAGCTGTTGTCGAAGCAGAAAGACGAGAATCGCACAATTTACTCTTCCGGCAATTGCCACGATTCTGACATCGGAACAAATCGGCTCTCGGCTATCCTTATCCCGCAGCCTTGCTTCTCCGCGGTATCTGCTGCCCTCAGTTTGCTTCAAATCAATCAACTGTCGCATCCATTGAGCAGGTCACTTGCTGCAACTGCAACCGATTAATTCAACAATCAACTTTCGTCTGCCTGAATCGTTCACCGCCTCTGCCGGGTTATTACGTTGCACCAGGTTTTTTTTTTACCTGGGCCTTGCCATCACACGCCACGTCCGACAGCCGTGCAGATGCTTCTTGCCTGTTCCTTGGACGTTCTTGCTGGGATATCAAGGCCTCGTGTTCCGCTACTCATCCGCACTGCACGGCATAGAACCGACCACAGCCTGCGAACCACGTCACTACCAACGCCACCTCCTCTCTCAAATCTGGCAACTTCGACAGATGCCGCTGCTGCCCGTGACTGGCTACGCGCTTTAGAGGATGCCAAATACCCAGAGTGGCGGTCGACATCGCCTTTTGCCGTAGTTCCGGTCCCGGTGGCCAGGTTTGTCTTCCATTATTCCCATTTTGCTGTGGCGTATCGAACGGTGATGGCGAACAGAACGTCAATAAAGTAAATACAAAAGCGACCGTTCGATGTGCCTTGGATTCAACTTGGATACCCTCCTGGGCGCGTGATGGAATCCGGCAGTCGGTCGGTTGTGGCGTCAATCTTGGCGTGAAGTTTTTTTTCTACCATCTTCATGTGCTGACTGAGAACCGCATATAGCCCTTTTTTATCAAATCATCACGTTCCATTCTGTTGACATCAACAGTCCATCGTTCACAGGCACAGAACGTTGATGACTGTCTATCGAAGGTAAAGGATCTCGCATCACTGTTCCGAAAGGCATTTCGGCATTGATCAAACCCGACCATTTGTTGTAGTTGCATACCCTAATTTGTTCTGCTGCATTGCAGTCGATACCGAATGATCCGTCCGAAGAGCAGAGGGAACGTGTTAGGGAGTTAGGGCGGAGAGCAGACGTGCAGCGTAGGCTGCAAAAGGACAAACGCAGTCAGACGAAACAACAAAGGGCAAATCGCAGACTGGATTGGGACTAGGGTTATTTTGTCCTCCCTCTTTCGTCGTCGTTTGCGCGTTTCGTTCGGGAATAATCTCTTCCCCAGTTACCGTTTTACCTCAAACTTTCCGTGTCGATGTCCGCACCCCTGCAGCGGTCATTGATAGTGGTGTCACCGCTCATAGCGCTCATACCCAGCATCGCATCAAGAGCAGACTCCTAACCCCGCACGGAAAAGTTCCGAGACCCCCAAAACTTCTTCCGCCCTCCCCTAGTGGTGATCCGCATCCACGTGATCACGACAACTTTGGTTTTGGTTCCGACTCCTAGGCAAGAAATGTGCAACAATGATCGACGACATTGGCCTCTGGCCCGGCGGGCACATCGACGGTGACGCAATCGGCGCGGGCGGCTTTAGGACCGACGCGATAAAGGGGGTGTATTGTACTCTTAGCCTCTCTTCTCACTCTCGAACTCGACGACATTTTATCTTCTTTCTTCGACGATGGCGACGCGAACGAGGCATCTCCGAAATTTCTGGCCCCGTACGAGCCTGTCTCACGACGTAAAGGCGGCCTCCTTCGAGTTTGTAGGGACGACCATGTTCCTACTTTTGGCGTTTGGCGGTGTGCAAGCAGCGCATGACGTAGAGGGGTCAGCCATCGAGCAAACGCTCTACATCGCGACGTCCTT